AGAAATTATATAATAGATCAGAAAGATCATGTAATACATACTGATAAATAAAAGTAAAAATTCATTTCTATTGCCAGAGTAAAAATGGTAAAGATCTGACATACTTCCATTTTTTTACTGAATAAAAAACAGAACTATGTCAGATCTTCTAAAAAATGGATTTTTGTTAAAGTAAAACTGAGTTTCTTATATAGATCCATTTTTTATTCAGTAAAAAAAACGGAAGTATATCAGATCTTTTAAAAACCATTTTTACTTCAGTAATAAAATAGATTTTTACTAAAATAAAACTGGATTTTTTGTATACATTCATTTTTCATCCAGTAAAAAAAAATGGAAGTATGTCAGATCTTTTAAAAATCTTTTTTACTCTGGTAATAAAAACAGATTTTTGCTAAAGTAAAACTGAATTTTTTGTATTGATCTGTTTTTTATTCAGAAAATATTCCGGATAAAAAATGAAACAATACAAAAAACCAGATTTTTGCCTGATATATTCGAAAATTTTTTTTATAGGGATGATAAAACATGATTTTTGAGGCAACGTAAAGATTCTAAGTGTGATTGATAATTGATAGTTATTATTTCTAGAATGTAGCATCTGATCGTGAACAAGTGAATCAATAACGGAAATTAGGAATTTTACTAAAAGTGAAACTATAAATTATCTGATTAATAGACGTAAAGTTTGTACTAATGAGAAAGCAAAGAAGTTATATGAATTAATTGATGAACGTATTGTGTTATTGCAATCTATTGTGACAGATATTCAGAGAGGAAGAAAAAAATCCTACGAAATAGATATTTACACCAGATGAATTACATAACTTGTTTTAGATTGATTGCTTTTTTAACATATTTTTATAGAGATCAAACAGGATATCTTTACAAAAATCAATATGAGTTTTCATGCAACAAAAATAAAACAAGACCAATTATATCATGAGGTAGTAAAGCCACTTATAAAAGCTTTGTTGAAGAGCGATCATAAAAGACTTCAGTATGATAAACTACAAATCCTAGTTAAAAAAAGATGCATTGTTGAACAAACTGTTAATAGCTAATGTATTTGCATATATCCAATAACAGATACTCTCAGTTTTTACTCTCACTCCGTAAAATTCTATATTCAGGAAAATAATAATGAGTTCAATATCACTGACGAGATTTTAAAAAATTAAATTTTAATATTGCGTGTCATTTCAATAAGAAATATCAATAAAAATCTTTGATGTAAACATAAAATTTTATTACAATTTATCACTATATTTTTATTCTTGATTATTCTTTTCTAAATAATATAATCTTATCATTTAAGAAATGAAGTTATTTTTCAAATTATATATGTTTCTTGACTTAGTTATTTAAAAGATATATACTAATTTATTTGGAATGTTATATATATATTTACTAGTTGAATTTTACACACTATAGTTTTTGTTAAAATTTTTTCTTAACTTCTTTATTTAACTTTGTGTATGTTATTTAGGAAGAATTGCTTTTTAATAATATGGTGAGCTATTTTAATAGAGTCTTTTTAAATCAAAAATAATATTGAATTACCTTCCAATTCACTTGATTTTTCTTTTTTTTGCAATATTAATATTATAATATAATTTACAAAATTAATTAAATATTTCATTCATATTAATATTTTTGAAATATTAATTAATAATTTATATATTTATTATATTATATAATCACTTGTGAATCTTTTGTATTCATTATATTATAAGTTTGCGTTATAACCAGCTAAAATAAGCTCAAAATTTTCAAAAATAATAAAGTAATTATATTTAACAATTTCAATTTGGTTTATAGACAAGTAAAAATAATAATATTTCTTTTATTAATTCAAATAATTATGATTTTACAGTTAAAATAAGAGATTAAATAATAAATATAATTTTGCAATTAAGATAAGATATTATAAATTAAATAAAAATTATTTATTAGCTAACAAATAATTAAAAAAAATTAAAGTTTTATTTGATTAAAATATATTATATTTATAGATAAATTATAATTTCAACTTTCAATAAAAATACAAATTGAATTAAATTTTGAACTGAAATTCTAATTGAAATTTGAACTGAAATTTGAACTGAAATTTGAACTGAAATTTGAACTGAAATTTGAATAGAAATTTGAGCTGAAATTCAAATAGAAATTCAAATTTCCAAAATTAGTTTAATTAATTAAAATATAATAATTCAATAATATAAAGAATAATATAGAAAATATATAAAAAATATCAATTTATAGAAAATTAAAAATATATAATTAGCTATCTATATGTGAATCAGTTACTAAATTTAATGAGAATAAAAAATGATAATAATATATTATTTTTTTTAACATATAAAATTGAAATACAGTCAAATTTCTTTAATAGTTATTACTCTTGGAAAAGCAAAATTGGATGATTATAATTATAGAGCAAGGTTTTTTTACGATGTTTATATATAAATCAGAAAGCAAATAAGATAACTATAGAGGAATATGACTATAAATGTGACTATAGAGAGATTTGACTGTAATAGAATTACAACTTGAGATCTAAAATGACCAAGTAATCCAGTGATCAGATTTTTTGTCATTTGATTACTTTAAAATATCATTAGTTTAGAAAGGAACTAAAATTGATGACTTAGTGTCTTTCACCGTAATATTCCAGCCAATTAAATTCAAATGACTTTTAAAAAGTCATTTAAAGTTGCAAATGACCTGGTCATTTAACAAAGTAATGATAAATATTATGAAAAAATGTTTATGTTTTCCCGAGGAAATTGCAACCACAAATGCCAAAAGCAACGAATCCTAATTCAAAAAAAAATCCATGTAATTATTACGTATTTAAAATAATAGATTCAATTATTTATAATTCAATAACCAATATGTATACATGTATAAATTAATAAATACGTAGGGTGTCATTTATCTACCACCTGACATGATAACTAACTGATCCCATGGTACAAAATGGTACGCCCTTTGATTTGTAAGAAATTTTTGACCCAGTAAAAATCAACGAAATTTTGTGATTTGGTTCTAGATTTCCCCTAAACAAGTAGTCTTGTTATCGTTATCTAATTGTTGTCAGACATTTGATATTTACCTTGTCTAGTAATGATCCTCGAAATAATTGTCGAATTAACTTGATTCTTAATATTAACGTTAACGTTAAATGGTTTTTAAGAATCAAGATATTGAAGTGGCTAAACTTTATTCGATTAGATATTAAATTAATTCTTGACAATAACAATTTTTTCCACCAAGGAAAGAATGGACATGCTATAAACATATATTTACATAAATTCTATCGTTATTGTTACAATTGCATATACGTGATAAAAAAGTTCACAAACCCCCATCACAAACCCACACAATACTCAATTTGCACCACACACAACCTTGGAAATCCAATTTTTCCCCTTCTTCCTATTACATCTTCGCTCACTCTTTAACTCATCAACTTTCAATAACAATTTTTCATCCACCAAAAGTTCAAACTGTATCGCTCGCACCCATCGAAAATAATCCGAGAAATCTAACAGATTATTTTTCGTTACACCCATCGATAGACTCCACGAGTCACTTGGTCGGATTGTCGATTGATATTTTTCTTCGATTGCGTCAAATTGAATTGCGTAGTGTAAAAGATTGATACAATCTTTCGATGGTGTCGCCGACGCATTTTTTGATTTCTTAAACCGTCTCTTTGCTGTTCCTGGGTGAAATGTCACGCTGATGATCTGTGGTTTGTCTACTCTACTTGCGTATGCCAGGAAATAGTCTGTTGATTTTGTGGGATGGTAGATTGCGCGTCGTCTTTCTTTGTTGTATGAATTTAGAGTGAACTCAAAGACAAAATCATCTCGTCCTATTATTGAGTGATAGGAATGATTAATCCTTGTTCAAGACGATGAAAATAAGCAACCAAATTATAGATTTATATATAAATACCATCTTGAGCGAGAACAACTTTAACCACAGATCTCGTAATAAGAGTCAGAAAAGACTTCGTTTCGACAAAATTCTTAGATTTTTCCATTTTTTATTAATAGTAATAATTGTAATCAGAATAAATAGATGAATGGGAGTAAATAATAGAAACGGTTAAGTATTTAATAGAAACGGCAAAGTATTATTAGAGAATCTAAGGTGGCGCATATTCTTTTTATATTTCATTCAGTCCATTCAGTCGGGTTATTAGCAAAGAAATAATTTTTTTTCTTATTGTACGATAGGGAAAACTCTGTTCTTATAAACCAAAAAAGTATGCACTTTCCCCTTGCAGATGATTGATCTAAAGAGCATCTCTTTAATGCGAACAACCAAAATAAAATAATCATGATTAAAAATAATAAGACCATAGTAACAATAACAGCTACACATTCATCCTCATATTATAAATATAGTTTTACCTTACACCTTTCCTAATCAAGCTGATTTATTACATGTATTAACAAAGCACAACCTATCATTTATTATTTATTCTTATTTATTTATTTGTGCCACTTTGAGTAACTAATTTATCTTTTTAGATTTGCATATACCGATACATGTACTTTAGCACATACCGATACATGTACGTAGTTGAAACATGTACATGTACATGTATATGCATGCATGGTTTTTTGTCTTCGAACTAAATTTGGCAAAATTCAGAAGATTCTTTACTTTCGAAGAGTGACACAGCGAGATTGGTTCTACTCTTTGAATCCCAATCTTTTTCGGTATGTAAACATCAAACTTCATTAGACATTCATTCGGCGCAACATATCAAAAATACATACCAATACCGATTGTTGTGTTGTCTAGAGAATTATCGTTATGAAAAATTTTTCCTGGAATTTGAAACGTGGGAAAGTCCGAATGTATTAGAAATATTACTGATTCACAAATCTAAATCAATGTTTCATCAGATTAGCGGAGATTCAAACAAAAACGAAAACTGGATAATAATATCTGTGATATCATTAACGCGAATTTGTGGTAAGGAAAAACCAGCGAAAAAGAGACGAAAAAGGAAAAAATAACTAACGTGAAAAATTTTCTAATTTCCGATTGCATTCTATAGCTCCTTGACGAATGACGCAGATTCTGCAATGCGTGATTGCGAAACATCCGGTCCGACAAGCTTATAAAGCGAATCGCGATCTGATGCTTAAACCAATGCTATATACAGTGGCCCGCATAAATAACGTACCACTTGCATCGCTAATCATTGATCACCTGATTTTCACTCACATGCAATTAGATGAACGCACAAATAACATCTAATACTGTGCTACAAATGGTAAATAAACAGACATATTGTTATGTCAGTTCGTCTATAATCCATGTCGATC